CTGAAATAATGTCATTTTCAGAAGCAGCAGAGTGCAGCAGAACCAGGAGTTATTGGGGGTCAATGACTCAGGGACATCTGAATGTAGGGACCTGCCCTTTTCTTTCTAAATTGTCTCCACACCATTTCAGATATTCCTGGAAGACAAATGTGAACCTAAATATGTACATGGAGATGTATATATGGGGAAAGCGAGGCAGATGGTGAGCGATCATGGACAGCTGGATTTCTTTTTGTTTTTCAGATTGCTCGTGCTTCAAACCTTTTATTGTTAAATGAAAGACATACAAAATGTCACACAAACTCACTATACAGTTTAATGAGTCATAAGGCAACATCCTTTAACCACCATCGAGGTCTAGAGCTAAAACATTATGGGGCCAGCAGATGGCGTGGAGGTTAAGGAGCTTGCTAGTTCCCACATGGTCAACTGAGTCTCAGACATGGTGTCTTGAAAATCACACTGGGCCTGTGTGCGTGCATGCCCAAAATCCTGAGAGGAAAATGGAGGAGAAGGGATTGTGGCGTGACCATCCCCCCTGGGGGACACTTTCCCACTTTCCCTCTCATTCTGGTGAGTGCATATACCCTCCTTATCACCCTAAAACAAAACTGAAAAAAAGAGAAAGCGATAAAACTCTACTAGTCACCCTAGAAGAGATTGTACACGCCTCCTGCAGTCCCCGCCTCCTCTGCCCTGGAAGTAACCACTAAGCTGGCTGGCCTGGCACTCACATCCTGGCATTCATTATAGTTGTGTCATCTAAGTGCACACCCCTTCATGCTTTAGTTTAGTCTTGTCATTAAAAAAAAAATGGACACGTCTGTTAAGATACAATTTCCTTTAAGATATCATTTCCTTTAAAATACAGTTTCCTCATCAATCTCTTTTTCTTCCAGTTTAGCTTTTGACCTAGAGAATTTTCCTGCAGCCTGTACATTGCTGGTTGCATACTCATCATACCAATGCTTAATGTATTCCCAAAGATGGGCTCTTTAGCCGTTTGGTGTTGTGGAGCTAACTGATGAAACCAAAACTCAGTGTCATGGCACAAGCTTTATTCAGCGGCCAAGGAATAGAGACGTGGAAAACAAGCTTGCAAATCAACTCACTCTCTTGTCTTGAGCTGGGGAGTTTAAGCTATAAGAAATAGGGTGATGAGGGAACTGGTTAGAGTAACAGGGGGGAGAATTATTCAAAGCTTTTTCTGGAAAAGGTGAGGACTTCCCAGAATTCCAAAACCAGACTGTAAACTCATGGTGTTGGTAGTTGTATCATTTAGCATGCCAAAGACATGATGATGAGGTTTGGGGTCTTCCAGAGGTCATTATGGCAGCCATCTTGGATCCCTTTGGTCCAGGCTGGTTCTCAGAGTGAGAGTTATCCACAGGCATGCATTCTACTATTTAAAGAAAAATACCATTCAGCTGTGGCCCGGGGAGGGACATGGTGGGGGACAGTTATTTCACAGTTTGACACATTCCTCTGTCCTCTGTATTTCATCTAAGTTTGGGAGCTGCATTCAGAGTTGGGATTAGACCTGTTCAATCCACTGGCAGGTGGCACCGAGTCCTTTCACTAGGAGCACATGGTGTCTGATTTTTACTCTTATTTTAAACAGACTTGCAAATGAACGTATAAAAGCTGTACATATTTCTGTGATTCCTCAGTAAGCGAACCTAAAACCAGGGCAACCACCACATGCGTCATCTCAGCCACTTGTCATTGTTTTTTTTTGTGTTGGGACATTCAAAACTCCTCCCCACTAGGAACTCTGGCTTATACAGTAAACTATTGTTAACTATTCACCCTGCTGGATTTCATAACACCGAATATTGTTCCTACTATCTATCTATAATCCTTTTTATTTTTAAGTTTTTGCCATAGAGCGTATGAGCGTGTGCACAGATGCAGAGAGAGGGAAAGCAAGAAATTGCGCCCTCACCCCCTGCCCCACGGGGGATGGCCACACTATGATCCCTTCTCCTCCATTCTCCTCCTGGGTTTTGGGTACGCATGCACATGTACTGGCATGATTTTCAAGCTAACAGGTCCCTGACTCGAACCATGGTCAGCCATGTGGAATCTAAGTCTTTAACCACCATGCCACCTGCTGGCCCTATCTATAATCTTAATTGTAAAATGTAATCTTCATAGCATCCTTCTATTTCTCCCCACTGGCATTCATCCCAGCCTCTAGTAGTCATCCATTTCTCCAGTGAGGACATTTTTTTAAAAATGTCCATTT